AGACAAAAAATCTGAACCTTTTTGCTTCATATATTTATATATATACACCCACGATTATACCCATAATTGCTTTGCCATCGATAGTTGCAGTACATAGATTTGAAAAACAATCACCATTTTAGTTGTTTCACAATAAAACTATTTACTTAAGATTTAAGTTTATGTAAGAAGTACCAGTGTTCTAGAACATAAATCACATACGCTGATGGACCATGCATTAGTATATAGGTATCTTGTGTTAAAAGCTAATTGCATAGACATCTTGGATTTATTCCTTCAATCACTGTCTCAGGGTTAAAGACAAAGTGGTGGAGGGATCTCCTACCTGATCAGGGCTGGTGCTTCAAATGGCCCAGAGGACCGATCTATCATACTGTATTAAGCATTACTCAAAGCCAATGTTATATTTCTATTTGTGCCAAATTTTAATTCATATATACATATATAAAGGAATATAAATCTTTATTTACTTTTCCACATACTCAGGATAGAAGATCATCCGAGGATCTATATTTCTGTGGTTTATCATACTTTCTGACTATAGGTTAGTAAAGGTTTCTTTTTTTTAAAACTTTTTTTCTGTTTTTGACATATGTCAGAATGGTATTGTGCCCATACTTAACGATACCAATTTGAATCTTTATAGGCACTAAATAACAATATCATATTTTTTTTTCTTTCTATCAATCAAATCTATTTCTTTCTTACATATTTTAGTATTAATTATCCAATGACAAAAAAAAAATGTAATGTGCACATTCCCGTCATTTATGAGTCGGAGTTTCAAATATACGAATATTAAAGACTCTGTGGTATGTGATATAATTTCAATATAAAATAGAGAAATTAACTTACTATGAAAAGTGCAGATATACAAACCAACCCCAAACATACTACCAAGTGTCAAATTTTCCTAATAGATTAAAAATTCCCACTAAGTGTGATTATACAACTCTATAGCATTCATCCATCATCCAAACTGGTCTATAATAATTTGATACTTATTGTGATGTACGCATGGATCCATACAACTCCATGTATACTTCATTAGTTGTTGTGATGATCACTCTGGCCGCAGGGTATTAAGGTGGTAAGGAGGGTTGTTTAGATCATTAATGAGTTATCATTTGTTACCGAAGGGTTCCATATCTTATAATACAATTCTAAATTATTCATAGATTGCAATTTCCATTGATTTCTGATAATTTATTTTGTGTTTAGCTTGGGCATTCAAATTATTTCCAGTATCTGGTAACATATTTTTGTAGCCATCAGGGTATGAATAATTAACATTTGATTGGGGTTATTTAAAATAGCTAGGTCTATGTGGAAAAGAAACAATTGTGGGGTTAAATGTATAACAGCATCTATCAGTTCAATTTTTCAAAGGGACTTACTTTGTGCAATCCCACCAAATGTGTTTGTGTGTAACTCTATCTTCACCACATCTCAAACATATGTTTTTCATAGAGGTTTAAAATTTAGATATCCTGTCAGGGACCAAATACCATTTATGAAGTATCTTCATGTAGTTCTCATCAAAATGTATGAAGTAAAGATTTATTTTTAATTTATTGATATTTATTAATCTGGGTTCTTGATATTGATTGTAAACTGAGTGTACACACATTATATCACCTGCTCCTTACATAAAAAAAAAAAAAAAAGATTAGGTGGATATTCAATGTAATGTGTGTTGTTTTTAATACATTTTTTTTAACTCCTTTGCAGTCTATCTGCATAATGCAGAGGGACTGAGTAGTGAAGAATTAATTGGTTTATTTATTGATATTTATTCATCTGGGTTCTTGATACTGATTGTAAACTGAGTGTTCAAACATTATATCCCTCTCCTTACATGAAATAAAAGAGATTAGGTGGATATTCAATGTAATATGTGTATTTAATAAGCTTGCTTAACTCCTTTACAGTCTATCTGCATGATGCAGAGGGACTGAGTAGTGAAGAATGAATTGGTAGGCATTCAAAGTGAATTACAAATCAATCAAACTAATAACATTACTGACTTTTTAAATTTGACTACTTTGGCTTAAAACATATAAAAAAAAATGTACATTGTTACCAAACCTGCTTCAAAACTGATTAACAAGTTCATGCACATTTGCATATTGTTTCCATAGTAACATACTGAGAAAGTTAAGGCAATGCCATACTGATTATACATTATTTATTGTTGACATGTTGACAAAAATGTATAATTTCTTCTTCTTATTACTTTAAAATAATAAAAAGTTATTTGCGCCTAGTGTCCCTTTAAATGGGCACTGCCTGTTCTCAATATTTATAATCGTATGCTTAGCTATTCAAAATATTTAACAACTAAGTGTTTGCAAAGTTTTGAAAAAGACAATTAAATGTATAAAGGGAAGTTTGAAAAATTATGTTAAAACTGGAAATTCACACTTACAAACCAAAGAGAAACAATGTCTGTATTTGTTGTTCTCATTTGCAATGTGTGTCTTGGCTGAGCGTTGATTGAAATGGATGTTTATGCCAATTGCTAAATATAATATAATTTAAAATAAAATTATGTAATTTCCAGAGAAATAACAGTTTCCCTTTTAATGCAGAAATTTTCCATCAATGTATGAAGTCAATTTGATTGCAAATTTCAGCTCTTTTTATGAGGACTACATTGTAAAAAATATCAGATAAAGAATGTTTTCATTTTACTTTCTATTTAGTCACCTTGGTTTTAATTTCCTTTATATTTGTTTCACAATTTGTGCAGTTTTCCATCAGCTTCCACATTAGCATTGTTATCATAGATCATTCTAATAATAAACGTTACAGGAGCACTCCAAAGTTCTAAGGTGCTACAGTGTGCACTCTGTATTACTTTAAATAAGTGCCAATTTTAAGTGACATTCACACTTTTATAAAGCATCTAGATTTCAATTTCCCAGATGCCAAAAAGACACACACAATGGTTCCTCTCAATGGTGCTTCTCATAGATGCTTTTTTTTAGAAGCATCGCTGGCAGAGTCCAGTTATTACAGCATTGAACTGGCCAGGAGATCATAAATAGTGATGAACTCCAAGAGGTGGAGTAAAGCTGCAGCATGGGACCTCCTCTCCACTGTATTAGAGATTAGAGGAAAGTAACTTGTTTTTAGTGGAACAGGAAGCCCTACATCTAAATAGTATTTGAAACAGTCCAGCCTTACAAATCAAGGTATTTCTTATAACACTAGAGCAGTGGTTCCCAACCCAGTTCTCAAATACCCCCTAACAGTCCAGGATTTTGGGATTACTCAATGGTGGCTAAGGTGTTTTTAGAGAAAAAAAAAACACTTTAGACACAACAGGATAATCCCTAAATCCTGGACTGTTAGGAGGTACTTAAGGACTGGGTTGGGAACCCCTGCACTAGACTGTTCCATTAAAACATATGTTTATCATGTTATATACGGTAATATTATTTATTCCACTGTAGCTCATTTATTATTTTATTCTAATTTATTTTTTCATCTTAAATTAAATCAATTGTCTCTACCTGACTTATTTTATGTGAATAGTCAACAAATACACATAAGAATTATTAATTACCAAAATCCAGACATTCGTTTTTTTTCATTGGAATCATCATTGGAATCATCAACAGATATGAGACTGGAGTTAATTGATCTTATTCCTCAATATTCCAATCTTTGTCTGGATAATTAAAAGCTTTCCTGATTAAAGCTTCATCCAAATATGAATATTTTAAAATCAGAAATAAAAGCAGGCTCTTCTTCCTTTGACTAATGTTTGATGGGTTGTTACATTCGTCTACATTTTATAAAAAGTGTAGCAAGTGCTACCCCAGCTGCAGGTACATTTTATAATGTGTGGCTATTCATTCATCATTTGCAGTATCCTTTGAAAGACATTACCATACAATTTGTGAAATGTTTGCATTCTCGTATAAAAGTAAAAAAAATCTAAATTTTTAAGGAATCCTTCTAAACTTAGAAAAAACCCAGATGATTTCTTTGTGATGTCACTTCTTAGAATATTTGAAGTTCGTGACAGTAATTAACTTATTTATGTGACTCAGAAATATACGAGTAGGTGGAATTTGCATTCTGACATCAGTATGTAATTAAATCTGGTGTTTTGTGTTGCTCTTTATGAGACATCACTACAGTAATGCATTTCGTTTTTTTTTTCATAAAATATGGAGACTATGCTTTTAGAGGATCATTAATGGAGATATCTCCTACTTTTAAGCAACATTTTAAGGGTAATGTATGTAGAACTAAACCAGAAGTTGCAGCGTAGAAGGATATGAGTTGGGCACTGACATGTTTTAACAAACTTACATAAATCATATAACTTTTTTGTCAAATCTGGAACCTTATATTTGGCAAAAAAAAATTGATTTATCTATCTTTCTGTCTGTATCCAGATTCTAAAAAGGAATGCAATGTTTTTGGTTTGTTTTTTAAACTGGGACATTGCACCAATAAATACTCCAAATATTATTACGTTTTAATTTCGGTTAATGTACATTTCCTCTCTTCTAACTATTCACAAGTGTGATTTTAATTTTATTCACCTCCTGATAATAATGCCACCTATGTTTTTCAAGCTCTTTCTATTTCTTAGCAGACGAGGTTAAAACTAATATTTTGTTGTTCTTTTCAATTGTACTAATCCCACAACTTCTACCACCCCGGGTTCCCACTTCCATTTTATACTTGTTACCTGTCTAATTCTCTAATTATACACAAGTCATGTAATACAGTCTTACAGTAAATAAAATACAGGCAATAAACAGTGGAATTGCAGGTTGCCTGGCAACATGTTAGGAGCCTTCCTTAGAATTTCCCCTTGGACAAAATCATACAGTACTGGAATTATTGAGCCTCGGGAGTTAACAATCTTTGTTCTACATACCCCTCAACTGTTGAATTTGTTGTGACAGTCCTGATATGTCACCTTGTCTCCACTTCCCAGATTTGTACTTCGGTGCCAATTGTTTGTGAAAACCAGCAAAAAAAATTCTCAGGAAATTTCACAGAACAACCTCAGTGCCTGTCAGCCAATAGAAAGCAAAGCAATGGCATACACATGGGAGACCTGAACCGTGAAGGAGGATAGATACTTGATTGCTGGTTTGGGTACACGCACAAACCTTCTCTGAAACCTGATCCCTGAATCAACAGTGATACTCAATGTTTCATTACCCACCCTGCCTAAATTTTGTTATTCCTGTCGTGTTGCCAGTCCCTTGCGCATTTTCTATATATCTAATACAACCTTTTAGCAGAGTTAGAAAACAAATTACAGGAACAAAATGTATCTTTCACATCATAACTACACAGCATACGCAGTATATTACAGCTTGGTTTGCCTAATAAAATCTAAATGTACTGACCTGGAGCTGAACCTTCAATTTCAATAAAGTAAACAGCTTACAGGACGGAATATGGTTTAAATAAACAGGGATGTAAAAATATGATTATAATAGAAATAACAGAAATGAAATAACAAAGGAAATAATGCCATTTGGTACTTTTATGGGAGGAAAAAGGATAATTTTGCATTATAGGTTTTCTTAAATAAAATATACAAATATACTTAAAAGGAAACTCTAAGCACCAAAACCACTTTTTCTCAATGTAGTGGTTTTGGTGCAAAGATCCTGTACCTGCAGTTGAACAAAACAAACAAAACAAACAATGGTTGAAACAGTTTTGTTTATTTCGTGATTCAGAGTTATATGTGTAGCACTATTAAAAAAAAAAAAATGAATGATAGAAAAAAAGATGATTGATGGTGAGGGGACAGCCGCTGAGTGTTGATTTTATTCACCGATCAAGTGAAATGTGAATGAATAGAAGGAAAGGAACAGTAATGTATGTTTATACATGATATATTTTAAAAAACTAATATAGAAATATTTAAATATAGATTTATTTTTTAATTTTACTGCTCCTCGTTTTTGCCTCTATTAGCTATCTGATCTGTGAACCAAATTGCACAAAAATGCACCTATCAATGTACTGCAAAATACACAGATAATATTTATTTTGTAGTATACTGATTTTTGTTTGGCTGAATAGTTTTTCCCAAAACGATCACATGGATAAAATTTGCCCAAACTTAAATGCCACATGAATTTCTCCTAAATCGCCTGAACAATTTTATTTATTTTTTGATGAGTTGATCTGGGTGATTTTTTTTGCTGTGTGCAAGTCTAATGTTTGCAATTATAACATAACTTACCTCTAGTGATGGCCAGACTAACTAGAGGCATGTTCTCATGAAACCCTTTGGATTTAAAGGCCTTCATGATTAGCATCATCACACACGGCATAGTGATGCAAAATGCTGAAAACTGTTCTCACGTGAGAAGCATCTGATTGATGAAGTCCGGAATATATTGCACATCTTTCATGTATCTGCTTCATTATGAGAAATGTTGTATTTGAACAGAGATCATTAGAAGTGCATAAAGCGGCTGCCACAAAGAGACCAGGACAGAGCTAAATAAAAGGTAATTTTTTTTTGTTTTGTTTTTTTGTTTCCATAATGGAAGGGCCTTGAAATGGAACACTCAGATGTTATATGTAAATGCATTTATTTAGAATGTTAAACAGGGTTAGTCAATGAAGTGAGAACTGAAGGGAATTTAGAGGGAATTTCAAATTAAAGGCCAAAGTAACCAACCTAAAAGCATTGCTGACTGTTTTTCACTTTTAAATCCCTGCAATTTTCACTAGTGAATAACACTGAAAGTGTTCCATTAAGAGTAAATTTGATTCAAATTATATTAAAACTGAATACACAGTGGTAGGGAGTTTATTAATGCATGGGAACTGGACATTTCGGTCCATTGTACATTATTGCTAGAGATGTCGCGAACCGTTCGCGAACTTCCCGCGAACGGCTCGCCGCGGTTTGCCACGACATGGATGCTGTCCAGGAGGTGGGAGGGTCTGGGAGGGAGGGTCTGCTGGAGATTGGCCGGGATGTGTCAGCTGACCGGAGCTCGCCACGAACGGTTCGTGGCAAACCGTGGCGAGCCGTTCGCGGGAAGTTCGTGAACGGTTCGCAACATCTCTAATTATTGCAAAGACGGATCAATTAATGGGGGAATACTGAACATCACCCAAAATGTTATTGGAGGAGGGCTGAGGCTGCCTCTTTGTAAATATTAATATGTGGTCCTCCTTGGATCATGAATGAGTCCTCTGTTCCCCACAATTAGCTGGACAGATCAGGAGAGGGTGAACTTGAGTGTTATTGAATAGATTCTCCCTGTAGTTAAAAAAAATATTTCCGCATTATAGAGCACAGTAATATATTATATTAATATTAAAATCATATATTATTATATTATGATTTTAACCTGCTGCCTATGGTTTGTGGGAATAGGAGAGATAATATTGCTAGGGTTTTTGGCCATTACCCAAACTACTATAACTTAATGAAGTGATTTTGGTGTATAGATCATACCCCTGCAGTGTCACTGATCAATTCTCTGCCATTTAGAAGTCAAATGCAACACTAGCCACATCTCTTTATTTAGATCATACCTAACATTCAACATTAGCAGAGTGCATACTTTAATCCTGGTTGGCATGGTAGATATAAGGTTATCTTCTTATCTCCCATCTCAGAGCTGTGAAGAAACTAATGCTATTCAGGTTTAACAGGGTGTTTACTTTAGGACTTGCAGAAAGAGTGGGGTCCTTCTAATGCTCAGGGCCATGAAACAGTATATAAGAACTCATTCTCCCTGCCAGCAGCCTCCTGTATGATACCTCACACAAAGTCTGAAGAAAGTCCTACATACTTTGAACTCTTTATAGCACAGCATATAAGTATGATTTCATATAATTTGTAAACTTATTTATATTTTTTAATAATATCTATTTCCATGAATGTTTTATACATTTCAAATGTGCTTGGGGCATATTCACTAAGCTGTTGTTTGAGTGTGTTTACAATATGTTATAATATGCCCTACATATCCACAATGCTTCCCTCTGAGAAACATTTGATTGGTCACTTCCTAGTACAAGGACCTTTATACTGAGCAAAAAGTTGGTAGATCTGGTTAGCTGCAGCATTGAGCATAATTCTTGTGTAATAATTTTAAGATATATATATATATATGTACACACATACACACACACACACACTATATGGACAAAAGTATTGGTACACCATACCATTAAGCCAACAGCGGCTTTTTTTTTACATTGCATTCTAAATGCATAGACATTAATATGTAGTTGGTCTCTCCATTTGCAGCTTCCACTATTCTGGGAAGGCTTTCCACAAGATTTTGGAGTGTTTCTGAGGGAATTTTTGCACAGTCATCCAGTAGAGCATTTGAGAGATCATGAACTGATGTTGAATGAGAAGGCCTTGCTCGCAAACTCCATTCCTGTTCATTCCAAAGGTGTTTGATGGGGTTGAAGTAAGGGCTTCAGTCAAGGTCTTCTACACGAAATTCATCCAACTATGTCTTTATGGACTTGCTTTGTGCATTGGGGCACAGTCATGCTGGAATAGAAAAGGACCTTCCCAAATTGTTCTCACAAAGTTGGTAGCATAGCATTGTCCAAAATGGTATGCAGAAGCATTAAGATTGTCCTTTACTGGAAGTAAATAGCCTAGCCCAAGCACAATTCAGTCAGGCAGGTAACGTTCTCCTGGCATCCACCAAATCCATACTCACCCATCAGATTAACAAACAGAGAGGCATGACATCATTCCACATAACACATTTCCACTTCTCCAGAGTCCAGTGACTAAGCATTGTACCTGAGCCTTGCATGCAGTTGCTCAGCCATGGAAAACCATTTGATGAAGCTCCTAATGCACAGTTTTTCTGCTGATATTAATACAAGTAGAAGTTTGGAACTCTTCATCTATGGAATCAGCAGAGCGTTGGCAACTTTTATGCACCATGTATCTCATCACATTTGACTTTACGTGGTCTTCAACTTCATGGCTGAGTTGCTGCTGTTCCTAAATGCTTCAACTTTCAAATAATATCACTTACAATTGAGGGTGAAATAACTAGCAGGGAAGAAATTTCATGACCTGACTCAAAGGTACCATCAAAATACCATGCTTGAATTCACTGAGCTCTTCAGAATGACCCATTTTTTCAGAAATGTTTGTAAATACAGACTGATTGGCTATGTGCCTAGCCATCTTAAGGAACCAACTTCAAAAATAAAAGGGAATAATGACGGAATATTTCCGTCATGTGTGCTTAAGGGGCTAGGTTTATACATCTGTGGCTCTGATTGAAACGCCAGAATCTAACAATTAAGAGATGTGTCCCAATACTTTTGTCCATATAGTGTAAATTATTAGCTAAATAATCCAGTAACAGTATTTCCTCTCCATCGGCCTCCATAGCAACTTAAAAATGCTTACACCATATCAAGCTACTATAAATCTTAATTGGTTGCCATGTTAACTGTAGACTGTTCAGGTCTGGTGTTTTCCATTGCAGGAAATACAAATTAACTCATCTAACTTGAATTATTAAGCATTAAGTTATCAAACACATTTCACTCATATCACAATAGCACATTAAAGGTTGTTCCTACATAAATGGAAGGATAGCGAGTGGAACACTTACAAACTGTTATAGGCATACAGCTACAATTGTATTATTTTTGTTTTTTAAATTTTTCGATGTTCTAGTGCAGGCATAGGCAACCTTCTGCACTCCAGATGTTTTGGACTGCACCTCCCATGATGCTTTGCCAGCATTATGTGTGTAAGAGCATTATGGGAGATGTAGTCCAAAACATCTGGAGTGCGGAAGGATGCCTATCCCTGTTCTAGTGCATTATATAACAGACAGTTCCCAGATTTTGCAAGAATGGCATTTTTCATTGAAATTAATACTACACTATATGTGAGTTTTTTTGACCCCCATCAACTAAGAAATCATGAATGAAAATTATTGACAACTTTATATATTATTCACATGATAATTCTATAGATAATCCATTGTGAATGAAAAAAACATGATGCACCACGAACAAAACGTTAGATTGAACATTCTATTGCTTCATCTAACCATCTGAATATATAAAAATTGCATTATTTATTAAAGCCTAATTATTAAAAAAAAGAAATCCAGTTTTATCACAGCAGAGTCTGCATAGGTTTCCTTTGATCCAGTTATGTATTTAATTCTCCATGTGACGAACAAAGCTTGCGTAATATGACTAACTGCGTCTCTGGTGTAATCATTAAGAATGATCTGACTGCTGTTGTAGCTGATCTGTGATGCAAAAATGATATATCGCTGTTTTGTACTGAATACGATTTCAA